GATGGGCCCTGCTGGGGCCTGCTCACTGCTTCCCCCACGTCTGTGTAGCGGGGGAGGAAACTTTCCCCTACCCTCCTCGGTTCTCTTTGCTTATCTAATAATTAAATCTACATAACACAGATAAACAAGACAACATAAACTTCACTACGTAGGTATGAATGGGAACTCCACATACATGAGAAGGTCAGAAACAAAAAGTTACCATGAGGTATATGAGAAATCATAAAGAAAAAATTGCCAAATTTCACTAATAGCTTCTATAAGTTAAAAAAAAATCAGTAATCAAACTCATAAGGCAAACAACAAACATTTGAACAAAGGAAACCATTTGCATTGTATGTGATAAGATGCAGAGTGTGGCACCGTTAACAAGAGCTCGGTCAGGTCTGGTCTTGAGATCTGCTCTGTCCCCCTGGCTGTGTGCTCTGAGTGAGTTACTCAGTTTCTCCCGGGCTCAGTTTCCTCATCTCTAAAATGGGAATGATGTTACATGTATTGGTTGGTCTGTATGAAGAGGAAACTTGTATGTAATGTATGTAAAGCACCCGTCACACAGTAAGTCCTCACACAGGGCTGGCTGCTCTTATCACCGTCATTGTCATCATCTCTTCCAATTTAATAAGAATGAGACAAATATCCCAGGAGAGTGAGTCTTGACATAATAGTTAGTTCCTATGGCCAATAAACAAATGAAAAAATAAAATAAAAAAGGTCATCCTCACTAATAGAGAAGAATGCAGATGAAACCACAGCGTGATGCCATTCTTACCAAATTGTTTGGTTTCTTTAAACTGGCTAATTAAGTTTGGTGTATCCCAGAATGGAATGCTTAGGTAAGAAGGTGGGAAATTGCTCAGATGTTTTAAAAAGTGATCCTTTCCCTGGGGGACAAGGACAGGCAAGCACTGTGCGGCAGAGGGAGTAAAGTGATGGAACTTTCTGAAAGGCACTGGGCCATATATAGCAAAGATTTATAAACAGGAAACGTCATTAGAATGTCACTTCCATCCTGGCTGGTTGCTCAGTGGTTAGAGCGTCGGCCCATGCACCAAAAGGTCTCAGGTTTGATTCTCAATCAGGGGCATGTGCTGCCTGGGTTGCAGATTCTATCCCTGGTCCCTGGGGTGCGTGCTGAAGGCATCCAATCGATGTGTCTCTCTCACACAGATATTTCTCTCTCTGTCTCCCTCCCCCCTCTCTAAAAAAAATCAATGGAAAAAATATCCTTGGGTGAGGATTAACAAACAGAAAACAAACAAAAAGTATGCTACTTCATAATAGCAGAAAATTAGAAAATTATAAAAAACTTAAATTTCTTTAAACTGGCTAAATAAGTTTGGTGTATCCCAGAATGGAATGCTTAGGTAAGAAGGTGGGAAATTGCTCAGACGTGTGAAGTAGGAAAAAAGCAATAAAGAAAACCACATGTAAAGGACAAGCCCGTGGTGCATATGAACAAAGACATTGTTTAAAGATAATTCAGAAAAAAATAGGTTGGGAATGTTAATAGCATATCCCCCCGTGTTGGGATTGTGGATGGCTTTCATTTTCCAATATTTATTTCTCTAGATTTGCCAGATTTTCTACAATTTAACAGGTAGTACTGTGGGGGAATCATTTAAAAATTTACAAATAAATGTTACTTCGATGGGGAAAAGCCCCATGACCTATTCACGGGTAAGTACAGTGAGCGGGCTCCCGGGCTGCTCTCGTGGGTCCTGCTTTGTGCAGCCTCCTGCTCTTGTTCCCACAGTGACCGCTTGGCGCTGCTCCAGGTTCGGGCCATCCTGCAGCAGCTGGGCCTGAACAGCACCTGCGACGACAGTATCCTCGTCAAGACCGTGTGCGGGGTGGTGTCCAGGAGGGCCGCGCAGCTGTGTGGTGCTGGCATGGCTGCCGTGGTGGATAAGATCCGGGAAAACAGAGGGCTGGACCATCTCGATGTGACCGTGGGGGTGGATGGAACTCTCTACAAGCTTCATCCGCAGTGAGTGGGGCTTCCGGTTGGGATGGGCAGAGCTCCCTGGGCTGTGAGGTCCTTTGATGGTTATGGGGCATCGGGATGTGAGTCCCACCAGGACAATGCCTCACCTGACGGCTGTGCGCTCAGGGACTGGGGCTGAGCTGGGATGAGGTCATGGACTGCTCTGAAGTTTAACTGAGAGGCAGATTAGCGCTTTACCTGGCCAGCTTACACCAGGGTCGTGGCATGTCCCTCTCCCCGCTCCTCCTGGGCCCATTTAGGTCGGGCGGAGTCCAGGTGGGGAGCAGGAAAGGAGGGAGAGAGGGGTGTGGGCCGCCCCATCAGCCTGGATAGCTGCAGCCTGGCCAGGAGGCTATTTGGTAAGTGGGGAGAGGGAGTGAAGGAAAGGGGGAGGAGGGCTCTTTGTCTTGTTCATCTGCTAAATCAGCTTCTCAGGAGACACAGGAGTCGTATTGGCTCTGGGCTTGGAGCAGGGAGGGGGCTGGGGAGGAACTTCTTTCAGTCAAGTGCCCGGCACCTCATCTGCTCTTGTGCCAAGCGTGTCCCAAAACTTGGCTCTTGTGAATAGTGACCATATAATTTACTGTCTGAACTCTTGGATGCTTTTGTCAGCGAAGAGAGTGCTGTTAGTAATTACACTGGGACCATCCCAGCTACACCAGGCCATAATGTCACCCTACTTAACAGCAACGTTACCCAACTCATCGTAGGCACTTCCTGCTTCCCTCATGGCCGTGGCTATGGATGGACCGGTCTGTCTGGCTCCACCTTAATAGCCACCCTCTTCCTCACCTGAGGTAGCACCCAGGTGTGGTTTAGAGCTAGGCTTTGGAGCCATACACACCTGGATTTAATCCTGGCACCATCATTTGGAAGCCGTGTTCAGTTGCTCAGTCTTGCCAAGTCTCACCTTCCTCATGGGATAATGGCTGCTGGCAGGACTGGAAATTATGTCTATAAAGTGTAGGTAAATGGTAGGCGTTCCGCAAAGGGCAGTCCATGTGACCTCTGAGAGCCCCCATGTCCTGAGCATCCTCAGTCTGGTCTGTCAGGCGTTCCACAAAGGGCAGTCCATGTGACCTCTGAGAGCCCCATGTCCTGAGCATCCTCAGTCTGGTCTGTCAATGGCTGCTGGCAGGACTGGAAATTATGTCTATAAAGTGCAGGTAAATGGTAGGCGTTCCACAAAGGGCAGTCCATGTGACCTCTGAGAGCCCCCATGTCCTGAGCATCCTCAGTCTGGTCTGTCTCATTTTCAACAAAAAATGGAAGAACGTCGAGTCACCTCTCATGTAGAGATTCTCCTTCACTTGCAGGCCTCCCCTGTTGGCTTCTGGTGCGGGGCTGTAGCTGGTGACGGGCTGGGGGTCCGAGGGCTGCGGCTGTGGGCAGGTGATTTCCTGCATGGAGGCCCTCGCACAGCTCTTGGTTTTTGGCCCCCTAGGTGTGTCTTTGAGGACAGGCGTGTCTCAGTGTATTATTCATGCCCTGGCCCTTGTATGCCGTACAGGGTAGTTTGGTTTTCTCAGCTGAGAATTGTAATCATAGGATTGATTGTAAATCCACCGGCTACTCTCAATAAGCCACAGCTGCTGCTAAGCAGCCCCTCCTGCCTTGTTTGCCCTCCTAATTATTAGAGTCCTTTGGCATCTTCAGGTGGGTCCGGCATCTCTTTTCATCTTACCCTACCTACCCTTTTCTTCTCTTTTTTAGCTTCTCCAGAATCATGCACCAAACCGTGAAGGAACTGTCACCAAAGTGTAACGTGTCCTTCCTCCTGTCCGAAGATGGCAGTGGCAAGGGGGCTGCCCTCATCACGGCAGTGGGCGTCCGGCTCCGGAACGAAGCGGGCAGCTAAGAGCCCCGGACCCCAGCCTGCTGCCCTTCCAACACTTACTTCTCTCTCCAAGCAGCGACCCCCCCACCCCCCCAATCTCCCAGCGAGTGGAGCTGGGAGACGCCAGCACCAGAGCCCGCCACTGCCACAGCGGGAGGAGAGCAAACGCCGGCCACTGGCGCCTAACGTAGGGTACAGAACCGAGTGTGTGCTGCTGATAATACCTCTCCCCTCCCGGCCCTCCTCACCTCCCTGCCACTCTGCATGAGTTGATTTCAGCCTGGCCGTCCGTTCCCCACGTGTGAAGTGTCGTGGCGTCCATTCTAATTTATGCATTCGTCCAACATTATTTATTGGCCTGAGATGACAAGTCACACCATCCGACAGGCCTCATGGGCGTCTGCAGCCCGTCCTTGGGGACGAACCCCCGTGTGAAATGTATTATCACCAGCAGACACTGCCTGCGCTCCGCCCAGGGGCGCTCGCCGCCTCCTCCCGTCCCAGCACCCACTGCTGGCCTCCCAAGGTTCCCGTCCGGGCGTGTCCATGCCACTGGGTTGTGTGTCTGTGGACCTGGTCGTAGCCACGTGGTGACTGTCTTGCATTCTGTCTGGGGGGGGGGAGGTGCGCGGTCCTGTGGCAAAGTGTCTTGTCTCCTCTGTAAAAGGAACCAACCAACAAAACAGTGCCCTCATTGGAATGTCCCTTCGCTTCTGTGAGCCATGTCGTATGACCTAGTAAACTTTGTACCAGTTCAAAGACCTGAGTGATGCTTGATGGCCGGGGACCGGGGAGGACATGGAGCGACAAAAACCAAACCCTGGGGATTTCTGTGGCTGCCTGGTCAATGGGGGGATTGAGGTGAAGATCGTGTGCTTTAGGCCCCGCCTTCCTCTGGGCTCCTGAGGACTCTCCCTGCTGCATCAGGGCTAGCCTCTCCCCGGGTCTTCCAGCACCTGCTCCAGCCCCAGGGTCCTGTCCTGGGGAGAGGCTCCTGCAGCCCCCGTCCCAGGTAAAGGGATGCCCTCTGTCCTCCTGCAGCTCCCGTCCCAGGTAGAGGGGTGCCCTCTGTCCTCCTGCAGCTCCCGTCTCAGGTAAAGGGGTGCCCTCTGTCCTCCTGCAGCCCCCGTCCCAGGTAAAGGGGTGCCCTCTGTCCTCCTGCAGCCTGGCCTCCTCACTTGCTGTGGGAACAGGGAAAAAAGTCCACTTGGCTTCCCGGGGCTGTCTGGGTTTAATGAGAGGCCGGGCCACATCCGCCTCCCCTGCCACCCCCAAGCAGATCTGCCTTCGGCACCTTCTCTGCCAACTCTGACATCCAGAGGATGGCGGGCCAAGGCCCAACGCAGATGAAGTCCTGCAGCAGCCTGGGCACAGGGTGGCTGCACTCACCCCTCCCCCACCTGACATTAACTCCTTCTGCAGGAGCCTGGCCCTTAGCTGACCCTTGCATCCCTACCCCTCCTCAGCCTTGAGGCCGCTGTTCCATTTTGGATCCTCCCACAGCCCGTCCCTTCGGAGGATCCCACATCAGTCCGCATTCTGGTGCCTGTGACGGGTGCCACGCGAGCCTTCCAAGCTATGGCTACAGCTCTGGGTGCCCTCTCCCCCAGTAACGAAGACCACGGCTGCTGTCTATTAAGCGCTTAACCTGTGCTTGGCCTGGTAGTTTATGGGCACCATCCTCCCCGCACACCGCACGGGGGGGTGAGGTGGGGGGGGAGGAGCCGAGGGTCCCAGGAACAAGTAGCTATGGCTACAGCTCTGGGTGCCCTCTCCCCCACCCCCCAGGATGGGTGGCCGCCCCAGGACTGACCGCATGCTCCCTTGGTGTGGTGAGACCAGCCCCTTTATTGGGCAGTGCCGATGCCTGTGCACAGTGATCTTTGTGGAGAACACAGCATTAATCTTGGTTCTTCTGCAGGGACCC